TAACACTGCACACACAGGACAGAGGTCAAGGGGCTATGTGGCTTAGAGGCCAAAGATCAGAGAGGCCTAGTCTGCAGGCACAGCTGAGAAGAGGCTATACTGACCTAATCATCGTATCCTCAGCATTTATAACCTGTGGTTGGGTTGTTAGGTGCCATCATGTTGGTTGTGACCCTATGCACAACAGAATCAAACACGACACAGTCCTGCGTCATCCTTAACGATTGGTCCTATGCCTAAGCCCATTGCTGAGGCCACAATGTCCATCCATCTCATTATGGGTCGTCCACTTTTTCGCTGCCCTTCCACCTTACCAAGCACAATGTCATTCTCCACGGACCGGTCTCTCCTCACACTAAAAAGTCTTGCCATCTTTGCCTCTAAGGAGCACTCACTTCTTCCAAGACAGATTTGTCTGTCCTATTAGCAGTCCATAGTACTTTCAACATTCCTCTCCAGCACCACAATTCAACCGGCTAGCTTCTTTAGTAAACCTCATAACTGTGAGTATTGTCTGAATTCTGTGTGGCCACTGCAATGAATTACCAAACCTAGCTGTGGAAAGTAGAGTGCTGTGGGTGGAAGCGCTGGTATCAGAACTAGTAACAGGTTGCAGGGGGACATAGCTGGCATTAGCAGTATACGAATAAACCTTGGGCAGGTGATACTGGTGGCGGTGATTCTTTTCTTCCCTCTTGTGAAATCAGAGATCAGTTGCCATTTCTGCAACACGCTACAAGATGACGAGCCTTGAAAACGCTACGCTACGTGCAATAAATCAGACACAAAAAGACACATATTGTCTAGCCCCATTTACATAAAACACCTAGAATAGACAAGTGCATAGAACGGCAGAGATTACTGCTTACCAAGAGCTTTTCTTGGTGCTCAAGAGAATGGTAGAAGGGCAGATTCTTAAAGTGTCTGTGGGACTCTCCTTGCTTCCAGGCAGATTCTCAGTCCAACAACTGTATGAAGGACTAAAATGACCCTGAATTTCTTAGAAGCAGCAACAGACAGAAGAATCCCTAAGGTTCCTCAGCAGCTCTGGTACCAGCTTAAGCCCAAATTACTGCTTCCACTCCCTCAAACCTCCAGGTACTTATCAATGAATGCTATCTTCTACACCTGTCCTCCATGCACACTCCCCATGTTGGTCCTCAAGTACACCTCACAAGCCACCAGGTTTCACAATTATAAGACAGTCACTCAAAGGCCTAAATAGCATTTATTAGAAATTCTTAAAAGAATAAAGCATAAAACCAAGCAGCAATTCAGGGACTAGGATTCTAGTCCCAGTTTGAACATTAACTGACTTTGTGAAGAAGACAATGATCTAAACTGCTGTAAGCTTAAATATCCACACGGAAGAAGATACCTTACGTACCTACCCAAGGGATTCAAAGGATCAAGTCTTGTTTGGGGTGGTTTTTTTTTAAGATGTGAGAAAACACTTAGAACAATATTTACTCCTTCCTTCAGTCTATTTAAATATTTTAAACATCTACAATTGCTAAGCATTATGCAAGCATGGAATTTATAGTTAGTGGGGAGAGAGTAACTAGATTACAATTATGAAAGAGAGATAGAAGCAAAGAAAACATAAATAAAAAGACTTAATTTACTGTGAAGGTTTAGGGATCGTTTCCCTAAGGAATCAACATCTAAACAGAGCCATAGAAAAATGAATAGAAATGGGTTAGGCAAAAACATGTGTAAAAAGGATCACAGCAGAGGTGCAAACACCCTGTGACATCATTCAAATGTAGAATGGAATAATGAAGTACTATAATAAAAGGAATTTTGCAAAAATATTTAGTTTGCAACAAATTTAATCCACAAAATTGGCTATTTCTAAGGCCCATCTTCTTATGGTCTCACTTATAGCTTGGATTTTTTTTTAATTGCCCAGATTTTCCTTAAAAAAAAAAAAGACCCTCATTACCTCTTGTTTTCTATTTCTGTAATAATTCTTAGATAGCAAAAAAATAAATAAATGCTCACATAGGAACAGTGGTTTGAAGCACGGAACAAAATTCTTAATGTTGTTTTCAGGGTACTGTGGTAGTGAATACTGGTCAGATTTTATATAGCCCCCTTGCATATTTTTCACTTTAACTATGCAGCCACCTTCTGTCACTCCTATTTTTAAGTCAATATTTTAAATTATTTTTCTATTCATAACTGTTTGATTCCTTGTATATTGCCAAATATACCAATTTTAAATTAAAAGTCTTATTTTAGCTTGCTTTGCTAACTTTCCTTTCCATTTAAAGATTTGTTAGAACAAGAGTTTGGTAAGAGGCTTTGGGTCTCTGCCAGGATGATTGAAATATGCAGGCTTCCTAGAAGTTTTTCCTTCTCGTGGACTATTGAGATGCTAGAGCATCCACCCATGGCTGTGAAAGCAGCAGTCAAGAGTCAGGCGATGCATTACATTTGACACATCTGCCGGAAAAGGCCTCTGTGGTGTGCTAAGCAAAGACGTCACCTTGAGCGCTAAGGTGTTCCTGAGAGATGTCACGATATTATCAATATTATCAAAGCTCATTTACATGCAAAAGCTAGACGGTGACTAAGGAACCGAAGATTGGATACCGTTGAATGATGGCACTCGTAAAGAATATTAAGTAGACCAGGGAGTGCCAGAGAACAAACAAATCGGTTCTGAAACGAGGACAGCCAGACTGTTCCTAAAAAGCAAGGCTAGCTAGCCTGACGTACATTGGACATTATCAGGAGACCAGTACCTCGAGGAGGAGGCGGAGCTGGTGCTTGGTAGAGAGCCCCCACCTCCCACCCCACCCCCACCCCCCACCCCCGTGAGAAAGAGGAACACCTTCAATGAGATGGACTGGCACAGTGGCTGCAACAATGGGAACCAGCATGGCCATGATTTTAAATAAGGATGGTGCGGGACCGAGCAGTGTCTCACGGGGCATCTAACAACAAACCAAGGGCATTGAGTCTAGTCCAACTCTAGAGGCCTTCTAAGGACTCTACAGGGCAGAGTGAAGCTGCTCCATAGTTTCTGAGACGGTAAATCTCCAGGTATGTTTGAACCGCCAACATTGCAGTTAGCAGCCCACTACACCATCAGCGCTCAGAGAGTTCATCTGAAGATTTTTATCCTGCTCTGGAAACACATAATTTAAAATCCTTTTAAATCAACAGGATGCTATTTTCTTGAACTCTGAATCCATTATGTTGCCTAAATCTGTTAGTTTCAAAGAAATGTATATTTAAAGGATAATACAAACTTGTTTCCTATTCTGAAAATATGCAGAACTACAATTTGCCATGCTCTATAGCACATATATATGAAATATGAGAGTATCAATTTTCTTATATAAATACTGATTCATGGAGTTATTTTACATAGCTAAGCAATATAAAAATAACTGTAACTTTTATTAGCTTATTTTAGAAGGCCTCCTAAACAGATTTAGGAGTGGCCTGGTATTCCAATATGCCACAAAACATCTTTTTTATATTTCATAACCAACCACCTCCAATTACTGAAATTCTAAAACTGGTATAAGTAATAATATATTATCTCCTCTTACAGTCATCTATTACTGATTATTCAAATAGGAGAGGTATCAAAATAGTTGCAAGTATCTTAAATAGTTACAAGATGTAACAAATAATTCAAACACAAGGGTTTGAGACTACATAAATGTATTTTATAACAACTATTAAAAAATATATTAAACTTTTAAATGATTTTATTATTTGTTCTTTTGCCCTAGGAAGGATAAAACCTGAACTTAATAAAAATAAGCAAAACTCAACATTATAGACACTTTGTACGCTGTACTTTCCAATAACAATATTAATTGGTAATCATTTTGATTAGAAATCAGTAAATTCATTCTTGTCCAAAAAAACTCCAATAAGAGATTATCCAACATTTTAACTTTACTTGGGAAATTCTTTTGGATTTGTTTAAGAAGGCAAGTTATCTTGTTGGCACAACAAAACTCAATGAAATCAATTAGATATTTAAAATGATATAAAATTCTGATAATTTTCATCTTTAATATTCCTTTCACACAATGAATTATTAACAAGTGAACCAAGGATTTGATTACTCTGGAAAATGTTTTTCCACATTAGTTTTCATCTATAATACAGATTAAATCTATAATAACCACTATGCCACCAGGGCTCATTTCTCTTGAGACAGCAGACTTAAAATGTTCTATGTTATCTGTAGATGTATAACCACTATGATTTTCTCAGTTTATTTACAGTAACAGATAGATGCAAACCATATACACACACCACCACCACCACCACCACCACCACCACCACAGGCCCCCTCTTCCCCAGGCCGGCGCCGTGAAATCGGGATGAGGGTGGCCAGAGGACGGAAAGCGAGCACCAAGGGATTTCTCACCACGGGCTAAAGCGCTCGCAAGGGATTCAAGCATACCATTCCTCTGTCACTAACTCTAAGATGAGAAATAACGTGTCAACCGCATTGGAATTCCTCTGCTGTGAGAAAAGCTGGAGGTGATCAAAGGCAGGTTGACACGCAAACGGCGCCGGGAAAAAATGGGTCCGATTAGGGTATACTCTCATTGACGTAAAATGACTGCCAGGCAATTCGCACGGCGTTAACGTTCACCCCAAGCCAGCCTGGCTGCAATAAAAATGGAAATAGGGCCGTGGGGTCCCTCACACCAATCTGGAATCTTTAACCCCTCCGCCTCCCACGCAAAAGCCCCGCTGAAGATGCTCCTCCGGCCTTCGAAGGGGTGAGAAAAACGTAGGGACATCGTCCCGCCCACCCCTTTTTAACCAGCTCCCAGGGGCCAGGGCGGACCAGGACCGGACAGGGGTGAGGTGAGGCATGGGCTGGGGGCCCGGGTCCACCAGGGGCCGGAGGTGTGCCACCCAGGGCCCGCGGGGTCGAGGGTTGGAAGCGAGGCGGGGGCGGAGGCGCCAAGCACACGGGGGTGGGCGGGGGTGGGGCGGCGCGGGGCCAAGCTCACCGGCGTTCTGCAGCGTCTCGATGTTTTGGGGTCTGGTCGCCAGCTCGGCCACCATCTGCACGAACTGGGTCCGGGCTTTCTGGTACTGCTCAAACACTGCGGGCAGAGACAGGGGGCAGCGCGCCGCCGGCGTCGCCCGCGCCCCTCCCCCTCCCCCGCCCCCGCCCGCCCCCCGGGCCGGCGCCCCGGCGCCCCTCAGCTCACCTTGCAGCACCTGCCTCTGGCTCATGGCGCCCGCGGCCCCGCTCCGCCTGCGGGAACCTCGGCGGCGACCGCGGCTGGTCGGCGTCCGGCCTGCGAGTTCGCGGAGCCAGCGACCGTCGCGACGACGCGCCCGCAGCGGGGATCCGTTTCTCTGTGTACCCGCGTCTCCGGGGCAACCGACCGGAACCGGAACGCGCCGGGCTCGCGGCGGCGGCCCGTCTCCGCCGTGACGTCATGGCCGCGGTGCCGGGCCGCGCGGCGCGGCCGAGCCCGAGCGGGTCGGCGCGGGCGGGACTCGGCGGGCTTCCGGGAGCCCCTGCCGGAGTGGTGAACCGTCGAGGGTCCTCCTGGCCACACTTGATGCAAGAATTGCCCTATCAAGGAGGGCTTGACAGACCGAACCCGAACCGCGGATCCGCGGGATTTCCCGACGGCAGCCCGGCTGCGTCCAAGGGCTTCAGCCACACGCCGAGGGGGCATGGTGGGAGTGGGGCGAGACCAGCCCACTGCAGCAAGGACACTGTGCCTGGATGGCCAAGGGAAATAACACGTGTTATTGTGTCACTGAATGAGTACCTCATTGTTAATGCAACCTGATGTCAAGCGCTTCCTTTTTAACCCAGCTTTTATATATCTGGAATTTCTGGTTTCAACATTCCTAGAGGGCTAAGACAACCATGTACCTATTCTTAATTATACTGTAATGAAAGCGTTTAATAAGCATAATTAGGGATTCCGTGAGAAAAGCAGACACGGAAACAAATGATAGATGTCTCCCGTGGCTGTCTACTGACTACTGACTGCGTTTTCCTTTTTGTGATTTCCACATTATCCCTGTCTTTTAATTTTAAGCTTCATTTTACTGATAGCCCCAAAAGAAAGTCTGAATGTAAATTTTTTAATGTAAAATTTTTAAACCAGACACACCCCCTCCAGGTCATGTAACTTTTAACTCACCTAGGATTTTTGTTTTTTAAACAAAATTAAGTGCTTAGTTTTTGAAAACTATATTCCAAATACTTCAGTGACAGGTGTAAACTTCAGATGTTTTCCTACCAAAACATTCACCAGGTCTCGAGTCAGTATGTAGCCAGGGCTGCTGCTGAAGAGTGCCAAGACCAGGGCACCCCTCTCTCCAACAGATGGGAGTGTGTAAACTTACGAGAGTTGAGTTCGGATGAGTTTTCTACAATAATCTTTGAGGAGTAGCCCTGACCTGAGCTCTCTGATGAAGTCCTATTATTTTGAGGTGCTCCAAATAATTAGATAATGGACCCACAACTAAAGGGGGGAAGTGTGTTCCCTGCCACCCTCAGAACAAGTATAGGTCTTTTTTGTTTACAGTTGAGAAGCCAGAGATGCCCACAATCACTTAACTTGAAGATGTGCTTATCAGGATGATGTCTACATTTCCCCAAGGGAACAAGTTCTTTAAACTCAGAACTGTTGTGAGTCCTCTTTTGGAGATATAGGGAGTGGGGGACAGATTGAGTAAATAATTTTAACTTCAGTTCCTATTGCATTATGGGGAGGGGGGAAATCCCCTTAAAAACTAAAGGTCATTGTCCTTAACTCCAAACTCCTTTTTTAACCATTGCTCTAGTATATTTTCTACTCTAATAAAAGTGTTGAGATAAGACCTCAATGGTGAAAAAAGAAAGGTGAGAACCTATAAAGGAAGCAGAACAGTAGCCTTATGGAATGCTATAAAGTCAGAAAACTTACCATCACATGCTATGTAAATTATTGTTTTTAACTATAAGGGCTGAGTATCTGCCACAACAAATGTTTATAGGTTTGTTGCTTTTTTTTCCCTGATGAGGTAGTTTGCCTTGTTCCTGATGACACACAATACAGGATGTCTATATCACATTACAATTGAACAAGACTCTTTATTCTGGTTTTTTTTTTTAAGGCTCCAAAATCAAATGGACAGATGTAACTTAGCATGACCATAATATATACATGCAAGTGCAATTGTATTTCAAATATAAAATGTGGCCAGCAGATTACTTTCACTGACAAGAAAGCCATGGATCCTCTTCTGAATTTACTAACTTTAAAACATACATAACTTTACAGTGAAGCAATATAAAAGGAAAGTATGCAAAGGGACACTTCAGTTTATACCACATAACTAAGAATACTGTTCTGACAGTATAAGCTGACTTTAAAATCAGCTATGAAAATAAATAAATATATTTTTAAAATCAGCTGTGCATACACTATGCTTGCCACTATACACTTGAGAATGAAAGCAGTGGCATATTCTCTGAGCAACTTGTCAAGTATTGCCATTAAAGATTTGCTTAGAAGCTTTTGGCTCCGTTAGTTAAAAACTAATAAAAGTATTTGTCTTCAAAAACACTTTACATTCAATTCCTTCTTTATTTATACAAAGGAGACTGAAAAAGACAGCCATATAAAGCCAGTTTTCAAATCCTGTCTTTTTCTTTTGGGAACTCAGAAAATCCCATAGCCATGGGAATATGTTCTGCTTATCCCTAAAAGGCATTGCGACTTTTAACAAATAGGTGTTGTTTCTTTTTCCCAGTTCCTACTTGAATTCTAAAGCTTTAAATGTGCAAATTAAATAATGTACCTACATTTTAAAAACTGCTGTTGAAGTAAATGTGCATGTAGGTACATCCTTTCATCGTGGCAAACACAATTTAATATCACTGTGTGACTTGGTCTTTGCTAGCAACAGAATATGCCTGTCTTCCAAGATATGGAGTCTAATAGGGGATACACATATAAAGGAATTATTAATTCCTTCAACAATCATATATTGAATGACTGTCAAGGAGTGAAGGCTATGATTGCCCAAGTGTTTTGCTTTGGGAGCAAAGGCAGGGAGAGACACAGGAAGAGGTGAGAAAATCTAAAACATCATATAATAAAAGGTTTCTTGGGTTTTTTTAAAAGAAAAATTAGCAATTTTCTCTGGATGCAAAATCTCCTCCCCCAAAAGGAATTAAAACATGTCAGTATTTTAAAAGTCATTTGTTGCATGTCATTATTCAAGTTATGAGGATACAATAATCACTTGGCCAATTCCTAGCCTAAAAGTATTAAAATAACTAAGCATTTACATACTTGAATTCTTTTAAAAAGTCATTACACTCTCCATAGCCAAGTTAGTGCATCCACAACCTTGTCTATCATGATAAAGCAAACATAGGACTATCTTAAATGTTGCACCGGCCCTCCTATTGGAAATAACCATAGGATTTTACATTTAAGTCTAAGCCTAACATCCAGTTGTGCCACCTAGTCTGTCAGAGGATAATTAGGCACTTCTGCCAAGGAGAAGCTTAATATATCTATGCATGACTTGTTTGTTTTATTCCCACCCACCACCCACCCTCTATTTTTTGCTTTGCAAACCTTTTAAAAGATCTATTCCTTACATTTTGAACTTTTATGATTCTTGTTGGAATGTTATGATGACAGTGATGTGGCTGGTCCCCAAAGTTCTAAAGGTAAGTTTTCCTTTCCAATAATTCAATGCATGCAAACTAAACTCATCCTTTTCACAGCCTAAGAAAGCCATGATGAGGCTGATTCCGCACATATTACAACTGAAGGCTGCAGTTGAGCAGTACGTTTTCTAAGGCAGGCAATGGCATGGGTAAAAAAAAAATCGCATCTTGGTGTGTGTATGAACATCTTTTTCAAGACTGCGTTGAGTCTCTTAGCAAGTAATTGAAAATGGTACCCCTAACTAGCTTCACTAGGTCGAAAGCCCTCAGCGCCCTGAAATAAAAGTCAATCCGTCAATTTGTCAATCCACTCCAATCGCCCACCCAAGCGGGAGCGCACGCGCCGGAGCGAATGCTTGCTTCTTGGCAGTTTGGCTTTACAACCGTGGCGTTGTTGTTGGTCTTGTCCAAGAGAAGTAGACATCACACCTTTTCCACCTATTTCCTAGTTGCGACCCAAGCCCCAAAGATGGAAGCTAGGAGACAACCCATGGAGCCCACAAGACCGCACCCAGACCCGGGCTGGGGAGGGCGCGCCTGAAGCTGGAGCGGGAGAACCCCGCCCGAGGTGGGCGCGGGGCTCCAAGTTCATGGGCGTTCTGGGTAGATCAGGGAAGGAAACGTCAGGTCTCCGCAGCTAAAGGGACAAGGAAGCATCCACTCGCTCAGGCTGCGGCGGGGGTGGCCGAGAGACGAGGTGAGGGTGGGTGGCGTCTGCAGCGTCAGGCTAACGGGCTGCTGGCGGCGGGCGCGGGGCTCGGGGCGTCGGTGGGGCGGGGGT